TTTTTGAATTTTTTATCTTAAAAAGATGGCTCAAAATATTTTTGAAATATGCAGTTTTGTAGAGCTCGATGAGCTCTATCGAACCATGTAAAAATATCCAAGAAAAATGTTTGATTCCATTTTTGAATTACTGGTACGTTACTTTTCCATCCTAAAAAAGTATAAAATTTCTGAAAGTTTCTTAAATTCGATAATAAAAAGTTTTCATAACTCTCACTATTTAGTGTCGATAAACTCCATTTTCGACGAGCTTTCTTTTGATATAAAATTCATTATGTCTTCTATTTGGAATCATAGCGGTACCCCCTTGAATAATATTATTTTCCACCCTGTAGACTTAAATGAACTATGAATGTCCTGAAAAAAGTTTGTGCCATTTTCAATTTTCGACTTGAAACATGGTTTAGAGACAGGCATTAATGAGAATAGATTTTTATGAATATTTCCAATCTTGCCACTGTTCCTATCTTAGACCTGAAACTTTCACAATCCACTATTCTAGTTCAGATCTGTCTCTTTAGTAATCTCTATTTCTTTGTTGGAAAAGAAATGAAATATTAACTATGTTAGAATTAATATTATTGCTCATATTCTCACCATATCTAGATTTTTGAAAAGTGCACGATGTTTGATAAACCGGTAGTATATCTTTTGATTTATTTCTATTATCATAAAATTTCGTTGACCAAAAATAATATTGTTTTGTTTTAATCATTTGACGATTATGAAATATTAATTGTTGTTGTTGTTGTATATAATTCATTGTTTCATAAGATGAATTATTTGTATCATGTTGAATTGAATACATCTTTAAAATAACAACAACGAAAAAATAAAAACAAAAATGACAAGATTTAAAAAGATCAATATGATTTCTATTTTATTTCTCGTATGTGATATGATAAATGTTTTATAAAAATATGTATATGAACAAAAGAGACAAAAAAAAAAAAAAAAAGAAAAGAAAAAGAAATTACAAAAGAAACAAGAAAGAAAGAGGCATCACAGGGTCATTAACTCTTCAACAGGAGCTGTTGTCGAAGATGATGGTATCGAATTTGAAATGGCAATTGTAACTGGAACATTTGTGGCTATAGTTGATGATGATGATGATGAAACAGGTATTGATAATAATTCAGTATTATTAACATTTAATGAATCTTGTACATCACTTCGAAATTGTGTTATATTTTGTGTAAAATTTTCTTTATTAGATTCTTTTAATGTTCGATCAATACCTGTCATTAAATTATCTAATGCTGTTGATAAAATAGCTTGTTTAGCTTGTGTATGACCATATAATAATTGTTGTTTTATTTCAGTAAAAAATTTATTTTCATTTAATAATATAAGACTAAGAAGAGGTTTTGATATTGTATAAATATTTCTAAAAAAGAAAATTTATTTTTGAATTTTTTAAAGAGTTACAGTCTAAATTTGATTTGCAGCTCCAGAATTCACAATATGGAACAAAAATTTCGATTTCAAATATAGATCCTAGACTTTTGTTAGTACTCTTAGGTCAATATCTAGTTTATACACACAGCAGTTATCAAAAGTCTTACTATCAAATAAAAAGCTGTTAGTACAATTCTGACGGGATTAGAACGTGAAACACAATGTAGTTGCTGTGTGCATTCGAAAAGCGTTTTTAAGAAGAAAAGTTTTTCTTCGAAATTGTTTTGTGTTATATATCATTCGACACAGTTTAATGCATTGAAAAACCTAAGTTTTTGGAAAATCCACTGTGCGCAGGTTAAATTGTTCATTTTATGGGACTAGCCGTTCGAACCACATTGTAGAAAAAAAATTTTCTTACTGTTGTATTAAGTTCGACTTGGATATTTAGAAAATGTATTTGATTTGCCTGCAGAATAGTTTAATTTTCCAGTGGCATCATGATTTTCAAGCTAAGTTTTGACTAAATGTCTGCCTAGATGCACAATTTGCGGAGGAGAAAGGGAGGGACGATTTCAAAATTTCTACTCCTATTTTTTCTCTACGTCGTGTTTCACAAAAAGACGAAAAACATTATCTAAAAAGAGTTTTTCCAGTTAGTACTTCTCATCTCTTTTTTGGTTCAAAATCGAGAATTTGATATTTTTCAAAAAGCTCAAAAGCACATTTGAGATTTTGTCTTAGGTATTTTTCAGAAAAAATTTGAGCTCGATCAGTTGTACTCTGGCGAAGAAATAAATCTTAATAGTATAACTTACTTGCATTCAGAATATATAATACCATTAAGTAAATTGACGAGTATTTGACGAAATAAACCTTCATATTCTTGAATATTATTCATTAAATTAGGTGACGCTATATGTTTTTTAACTGAACGAAAAACATATGATAATAATGTATCCAAATAAGCACAACATGCATTTTGTATTGCTTGTTCAGGTGATAAAAATCCTTCACTTATTGTTTCAAGTATATAACCAAATAATGGTCGAGATAAATTAGCTAAATAATCAATTTTAACAACTGAAAATGTTTCAATTAATGAAAAATAAGCTAATGTTAATTTCGGATATGAAAATAAATGTGTTATCTTAACTGTCGTTAATATTGAAATAAATACTTGTAAAAAATTATCAAAACATGGATCAGAATAAAGTTGAAATACTCCAAAATTAACATAATTACCTATATGAAAACAAAAAGTAAATAAAATGAAATAAAATTATTAGAGTCTATCCATCGCCTTCAAAAAAAAACGATATCGGACTAGGTACATTCTCAAATCACAGAAACATATTTTTCAAGCATAAGATGACGGAACTACACTTACTTGAATAATTTTGACGAAAATGAACGTTTTTTTTTAAGGTAGGGTACTCCAGTATGCATTCATACGGATACTAGATAGAAAAGCCAAAGTTCGATTTAACTGGAACTCAAAATTTAACCAAAAAACACTAGTATTGATCATTGAAGACATCTCTTAATTTGAATATGTGCTCTTTCTTTTTGAGAAAAAAAAATTAAAGTTTCTCGAAATGGTTAAGTTCACGAGAGAAGATTTTCAACTGATCAATTGCTTTTGAATTCATACTCTGTGCATAAGGTAGGCTTCAGAAGGATATGAAAAACTTACGAAAGATAAGCTTCCTTGACCATCTATGCACATATATTTTACTGTGATCTTAGCTTCTTGATTGGTATACACCAACAAACCGAACGATGATATTTCAAACTGAGATTTTATCCATAGACAGGTCTATTCATCAGAAGAATATTATCTTGACAAGATATGAGACTCCGAAAAATCACTTATATTCCATGATAGGTGCTATGATTTTCTATTTTTTTCGGGAGTCTAATATCTCCACAAGAAGATTGTAAAATAACACGGCATAGAAGGCTTAAGGAGTCTTTTTCTTTGGAAGTTTTTCTATATCTCACTATCGCGTCGATTCGTATCTCCTCAAATTGTATCTTCTATCATTACAGTCAGCATAAACACTTAACTCCTTTTTCTTCGTCTGTCTTGCGAAACATTTACATTATGAGAAGAGGCTTAAATAAAAACTTCATTATTTTTTTTCTTTTCCTTACCCATTAAACATGTTTGAAGTATTCTCAAACATGTTATAATTGGTTTAAGTTTAGATTTATAAAATAAATCTCCATCACTTTCAGGTATTGTTGTATTAACATGTAAAAGTGTTTTTGTTTGAAATAGATGAAGTAAATTTGATGTTTCACGAAATAATAAATAAGCACTTGGTTTTGTTGAATCAAATACTAAGCGTTCTTGCCGATTTGATGTTAGTTCATGAAAAAATTTCAATAATGGATTATAAACATCTTTTCGATCATAAAATACATAAAAAGCTTTTAGAAATAATGGTAAATAAGATGGATATAACCAATCAAAAAATGATGTATATGCTTGTTTTGATAATAATGAACTACATAAACCGCGAAGATCACGACTAATACCAATAATAAGAGATTGAATTTCGTCTAATGATGCTAATGTTGGACTGAAATATTAGAAAAAAATATGTACAAAATCATATCGCCATCGGGAACGGTCGTAAGAATTATCTTAAGGAGATGACGAAAAGGTCATTACGGCAAAAAGATGATCGTCGGCTTGTGGAGGATGAAACAATTTTAATTCGAACTAATTACTTGTTTTCGAGAAACATGATTTTATTGCAATGGTTTCTTGTTTAGCCACTTTCCTACTATAGTCGACAGGATACATTGTTTTATACTTTCATCATTGAAGAAAACTTTGAATATAATTCATTTTGAGATTCGGATATAAAACATGATGGAATCTATTCAAATGATCATTCTTTCTTAATTATTCACACTCTAGACTTCAACAATTATTAGGAACTTAAATTTTTAAAAATATGTTTTCAAATACCGAAGTCGAATAATCTAAGACGAAATAGATCGTATCCTATATTGTCCGACAAGCCCAAGATAATCTAAATAACATTCTCTAGAACAATTCATTGCATTACTTGTTAGTGTTATTCCTGTTCAAGAATGATTTCGATTAGATCTAACTATTTGGTTGCTTCATCTGAGTAGCTTTTATTTACTGTGAATACAGATTAATTTGAATGTTTAAGTTCCTTACTTAAATTGAGTCATAGCTGAAAATTGTCCAGAATTTAATAATGAAAAATCTGGAAATTCTTTAAATATTTGTACTAATCTTGTACAATGATTTGTAAATGGTGTCATAAAAGCTTCTATACGTTCATCATCATCATCATCATAACGAAATTCATATGTTAACATACGTCCAACAGCAGAATAAAAGGTTGTTCGTAAACGTGACCAACTACTTATACTTAGATTACTATTATGTGTACGATTCAATGTTGATGTTGGATGAAGAAATGGAAATAAATCTTGTGTATGATTATTTATAAAATATTGTATTGGATCAAGTTTAACTAATTTACGAACACTTTGATAACCATGAGTTAGATCACTAAAACATCCAACAGTTCGTTCGATTAATTTATCTGTTATTATTGAATATTGTAAATTAGTAAAAAGTTTTTTAACAAATATTGATAACAATTGTTCTTCATCAGCAATGCCTAAATAAAAAAATTAATTTGTTTTTATGTTTTATCAGTTGCTTGTTCGATATGACTCAATTAAAGTAAAAAGTCTTTCGTAAAGATTGATTTTCTAGAAATCCTCTTATGTTCGGAAACACAAACATTTTCTTTTTTTTTTACCATCTCGTTACATCAGAAAATATTTAAAATTCTGATTATTTCAAAGTCCTATTCAAGCAAACCATTACAAGATTTATATGTAAAAGAAATAGACGACTTTGAAATCTCTTGACAGAATGCTCATAGTACTGTAAAAAGAAAACATCAGTAATTTATAACTATAATATTTTTTTCATTCAAGTATGAATTAATAAAAGTATCGAAGTGTATCTCTATATTCTGTTCTGTTCAAACTTCTTTTTCTTTTCTAAACTAAACAAACATCGAAGAGAAAGAAACTACTCAAGGAGAAAAGAGTAAAGCCACAATAGTAAATGTCAATGCCCATACATCCTGTTAATCAAGGTCTTTTTCATATAAACTATTAAAATTTCACTTCAGAAAGATTGATTGATTTTTACTTAATATTTTGTGCCAAAAAACCAGTTCGTCTCTTTTTTTTTTTTTTAAAAGTCAATACATATCGAATCATTCTGATATCATCAGAAAGATTACATAAACTACATTAATATTTTTCTAATACAAGTATTAGAAAATTTCGTTCGAAAAAAAATCTTTTCTACAGGATATTGATAACTACTCTTCTGCTGAA